ACTAGGGTAACGGATAGAATACATCTATTGTACATATATAAGTATATTTATATGAAATACATATTAAACATCCATGACTGGAGTACAAATGCTCGTATTCATCACACAAACATCTGCCCCCACCGGGATTCGAACCCGGGACCTCTCGAGTCGGCGATATGCCATGAAACCCGGCGTATAATCCACTCGGCTTATCTTACTCGGCAGCACTTATTGGTATAAACGGAGCATCTAGAACTAATGAACTAACACAACTAAATGTCAAAAACATTGAGAAACATTCAGATGACTTACTATTAATTAATTTATCTAATACAAAGTCGAAAAGAGAACAACTTCGTCATTCGCAAAAAAATACGTAACAATTGTTGAGAAATATCAAGCCTCATGCCAGCCTAACACACCAATCAATCGATTATTTCTACAAAATCGCAACTGGAAGTGTTTCAGACAGCCTATGGGTGCTAATAAAATTACCAGTATCCCATGAGAAATAGCAACCTTTCTTGAACTTTCAGCACTCCTGTTGTACACGGGTCATTGTTTCCGATGAACTTCAGCCACACTTTGGTGGTGGGCACATAAGGGGCAGAAGTGATCAGAAGATCACTTCTGCCCCTTAATCACCAAGGAGGTTGTAAGTCCAATGCGGATGGATTTCATCCAAAATAAGTTTAAAATATGTAAAGGCATCGTAGGAGCCATTACACTGAAAGAGCCTTAGTCAGATCCTTGGACTAGCTCTTCTTCATAAAAAATGCGCCGTTACGAAACACCTAACCATCGCCCTCTCTCGCCAACATTTGCGCCAAGGGAATCCGATGAATCGGTACAACTATTAAGTATGACAGATAGTTTACCAAAAAACAGTACAGGAGTCACTAACAACAACATTAAAGTACAAAAAACTAGGAAAAATATTACACTCAACTTAAGTAACTGAAGCAATGGTACTCCCAACTTTTCTTAATTATACCTAAGTATTATTTGTTATAATTTAAAGATTATTTTGTAGGTAACACTTTTGTGTTATGAAGTAGTTAATAACAAAATTAAAATAAAAGTAACTTGTGATTGTAAATGTTTTTTTTTCATTTAGTAATTTTGCTGAGGTTGGATGAAAAGTTACGTGTTGCACTCGAGTGCAACGATTTTTCATCTCGTGTTCTTTTGATTCCCTCGCTGACGCTACGAATATTACTGAATCAATTTTAGAATCCTTCGCTTGCTCTGTCATCAAAAAAGAGCACGTGTTTAAAAGCTACTTTTTTTCAACACACACACCAATTAGACTAGCCCCAAAGTAAGCACTGTAAGGCTTGTGTCATGGGATACTAGGGTAACGGATAGAATACATATACTGTACATATATAAGTATATTTATATATAAATACATATTAAACATCCATGACTGGAGTACAAATGCTCGCATTCATCACACAAACATCTGCCCCCACCGGGATTCGAACCCGGGAGCTCTCGAGTCGGCGACACCATGAAACCCGGCGTACAAACCACTCGGCCACGGAGGTCGTAAAAACGACATACCGATATTTTGCACTCTTGTATAACAATTAACTATTAAAATATATCCAACAGCCACCTCGAAATGTCACCGTGTCGATTGCTTTGTTTTGGTCTAACTTGTTTTTTTTTTATTTATCCCAAGTGCTTTTTTGTGGACTCGATATTTCTTCACAATACAAGTTTTTATATAAAACATTTTTATGGTAATGAGAACAGATTTGCGGCTACATCGATCACAACTGGTTTTTCGATACCTATTGATACTTCAAATTATATTTATAAAGTTGTGCTGCGTTCGGCTATTTATGATATCTAAAAATATACATTTCTAACATTCGATTTATTAACACAATTACAATATATAGAAATATAATAACAAGAACTTAAAAACTACCTAATGTTTATAATTTTAATACAAATTACCTTAACCTACTTATAAATAATATCTTATTTAACCACAAAAGGAAAAATAAGTCACCCCCAGCGCCGCCGTCAGGAATGGTGTCCAATAGGCTGGCACCATTGCCATTACTATTTATTATAAATTATTTACTAAAAAATTAAATCGGTACTTATATACAGACGATACAAATAGGAGTACCTTCGGGGTAGAGCGGTATGTTCACCGGTTCGAATCTCGGTGAGGAAAATGTTTGTATTATGAATACGAGCATTTGTTCCAAACTCATGGTTGTTTTATTTATATCTATTTCTGCAAAAATATGAATACTAGTTTAGTTTTTCAGGGCGGTTTCCGCACTTAGTCCTAATTATTGGACCATTGAGCAACAAAGCACATGTGCCGTCCGTGGTTTTACAGCTTACATTGATATTTATTGAACTTAACAAAAACTTGACCTCTAAATCAGTTAAACCAAAATTTTCATTAAATTATGTATGGATCGATGATTTTATGCAATGTCGTATGCAAATTTTGGTTTCCAAATATGGGACCAACTTCGCCTCTTAGCTTAGCTTAACTAAGCCTCCAATAAAAAAAATATCAAAATCGGACTACTCCTTAAAAAGTTATGCGTGATCATTCATAAAGAAAATATACACGTCGAATTGAGAACTCTCTCCGTTTTTGCTTCGGTTACAGAAAATTAAATGAAAGTGTATAGGACAACTGTAGTAAGAAGAGTGTGAGAGATGAAGTTGCATCGGTTAAAGCTATTTCCCGACAAGAGAATGAATGCTGAGCAGGGGGTCTGAACGGTTAAGTATGCTTATTATTTAAGTTCGTAACTAGTAAGTAGTATTTTTGATTTGAAAACTTCGTTAGCGGCGTTGTACACTGTTTTTGTAATGGGTAAAAAATATTAAACTCGCGTCAGGACACGTGGCCTGATCGAAAATTCGTAAAACGAAAACAATAAAATTGGAAAGGTTGTTGACATACAATTTATTGGACGAAATTGTATATTTTATGAAATGAAATGAAAAAACCTTAAATGAAAAAATAAATATTTTTTGATTGGGTCACTAGCTTTTGATATAATATTGATTAACATAGCATAACGAATACTACGCCCTCAAAAGGAGACAGTTTAGCTGATTTATATTTGTATTTTATGATTAACCACAGATCTTCACTGCAATGTAGTTAAAAACAACTTTTTAGCCACTTTTAGGTAAGTTTGTGTGTCGAGGTCTGATTTTTTTAATGACCCGATGAGATAAGATGGAGGTTTTGTTACCATTGTTCTAACTCTGACAGTCTAAGATCCAAACCTACATCGACCTTTACCGAGCTGATAATAGAATGAAACAAATTTTATCATGAACTTAGTATATTAGAAAATATATTAAAAATGGGTTGCCTAAAAAATCCTGGACAGACTATTTTTAGTTAATTAGGAAAAAATAGTTTAATTAAATGTTGCAACATCAGGATAATAAGAAAATGTTGTCCTGACTTTCAGTATAAAACTTATAAAATGTGCAGCCGTTGGGTTGTCTATTATTTACCTGAGTAAACTACTGGGTTCTGGCAAATAAACAGGTATATGTCGATGCCTGTTACGTTACCCAACGGGTGCACTTTCTATTCGTTTTATACTTTAAGTCAGGACAATATTTTATTATTATCTTGATATTGCAACTTATTTTTTTAATATTTTTTTTAATAATAAAAATAGTCTGTCTAGAATTTTTTTCGGCAACCCATTTTCACTATATTTTCTAATACACTTAATTCATAATAAAATATGTTTCATTCTATCATCAGCTAGGTGAAGGTCGATGTAGGTTTGGATCTTAGACTGTCAGAGTTAGAACAATGGTAACAAAACCTCCATCTTATCTCATCGGGTCATTAAAAAAATCAGACCTCGACACACAAACTTACCTAAAAGTGGCTAAAAAGTTGTTTTTAACTACATTGCAGTGAAGATCTGTGGTTAATCATAAAATACAAATATAAATCAGCTAAACTGTCTCCTTTTGAGGGCGTAATATTCGTTATGCTATGTTAATCAATATTATATCAAAAGCTAGTGACCCAATGTAGGTTCGAATCTTCTACTATGAATATCAGTTTCTCAGCATTATTTATTGTATGAAATCTGAACAAAAATTTCAGCATTCGACTACGATATTTCAAATAGTTATATTTATTTTTATCACATATTTATACGCGAATCAACTTATATCATTATTTGCAAACAGTTTACCAACATAAATAAAAATAGGTTACCAATATATAATATGATTATGCATAATTTGTCTCACTATAAGGATTTTTTTCTCATAATAACTTTTCTTCCCTATTCCATCCATAGGGAAGGCCTGTGCCCCAGCAGTGGGGACATTAATAGGCTGATGATGATGAACTTTTTAATTATATAATGCACATAGAACATACGTATTAATAAACTTGAGGAGCTCGATGGCGCAAGTGGTTAGCGTGTTCGGCTGCGATCGTTGAATTTAAGCAACATTCGCAGTGGTCGGTCATTGGATGGGTGACCGAAAATTTACTATCTCGAGTTCCTCCGTGCTTCGGAAGGCACGTTAAGCCGTTGGTCCCGGCTGCATCTGCAGTCGTTAGCACCCACCAACCCGCACTGGGCCCGCGTGGTGGGTCATGGCCCAATTTCCCATTTCCATCCATAGGGAAGGCCTGTGCCCCAGCAGTCGGACATTAATAGGCTGATGATGATGATGATTAATAAACTTAAAAAGAAACTAGAACTATCAGTTTCATGATAGGTAGGTACTTAAATAAATGGATCGATAAAACAAGTACCTATCATCTAATGTTATAAAACGATTATCGCACAAATAACTTTTTATACTATACACTTACAAAGCACTCACGATAAAGTTCCAGTAATGGCGTGAAATAAAAGTTTTTTCGTTACATTTTAGTGTAAGTTTTATTTACCTTTCCATTAATGCGATAAACACAACACAAGGCCGCTATACATTCGTTGAAATAGTTTACGGGGTAAGCCAGTTCTAGTCTTTACCTCAGATAAAATAGCCGTGCGGGTCAGTGATTTTCGTTACGGTCAAGTGAATTAGATCACAAATGTATTGATCAAATAAAAACTCGAAAAGACTTTTATATCTAATTCCAAAAAAGAAGGTTTAAGTGATTCACGTAACGTAAGTGCCCAATTTGAAAACTCACGTATCCGTATTATTTAAATAAATCTAATATTTATTGACAAGATTATCTATTTTAAAAAGACTGCAGGTACTAATTTGGAGGGGTAGTAGGGGTAGGATCGTACCTATATACCTACTTAGATATATAGGTACGATCAGCCAATTTGTTTTATGACCCACCATATGCTTATTTTGTTACAACCATTTCAAGACAATAAGTTAGATTATTGTCTTGAATCAATTACTTCATGTGACAGATTTTGCCGCCTTCCTTTGACATAATTTTGACATTAAATTTATTTACAGTTTTACATTTTATAAGTTTAACAACATTTTTTTAATGTAAACAGTTTCTGTTACATTTACGAATTTAAAATTGGTTTCGAAATTCTCATTACTATTCAAATTTTATCTATAATAAATAATAATACTATGCTACTGTATAAGAACATGGGGCCGGACTAGAAAAACATATTATAATCTACATTGAAAGAACCCCGAGTGCATTAAAGGTTGGTTAAGTTAACTTAGTTTTTTTATGATATTTAAGCCCTATGGATATCCAACAGCTCAACTTTATGCTCATTGTGATGTTCTGTGAGTGTGAGAGTGAAACCCGCAGGAAAATTAAAGTTTGTGCAACATTTCCCAAATAAAAATCTTTTGCAAACAAATTCCAATTTTCTTTGAGCGCTTTCTTTTTCAATAACGTCAGTAAAATTCTTAATTTGGTTTCGCTCAAATCGTATGAATATAAATCTAAACTGACAAATTGGCTAAGAACACAGTGTTACGAGAGCGTTGAAAACATGTTCGCAATAAATAAAGAAGTAATATACGATTTATAATTTGGTAAATATGTATCACATTATCTATTTCTGAATATAACCAAACACGAATTAAATACTGTTTGCAATTGAGGAGTTCCATTGTTTGTCTCCAAAAGTACTCATCAGATATTCACCAAATTAATATCAACAATTAATGTGCACAAGAACTATTCAAATTAAATGCTTTACACCTGTTTACCATCAGACGACGAGATGTAGACAGGAAATGTTCATCCGTATGTGGTGGACATTCCTACACTGCGTACCGGGAATGGAATTCCCGCATTGCATCAATATTTCCCGATACATAATATAGGGATTTGCAAGGCAAGATTAAACAGCCATTGCCATTGAGTCTGCGTGCTGCAGCTTAGACCACGTGGTCGCTTAAAATCAGGTGTGATTCTGAACATACTCAAATCTTTTATAAAAAATATGGGATTTCATCTTCAAAAAACTGAGTCATACAAGAAAATAATCACCAAAATCGGTTCACGCGTCTCGGGGATGCGCGAACAACAAATAAAAATATGTAGACGTATTCTGACGGATTGCAAACCTCTAATATATTATATACTATATTATTAAATTATTCTGAGTTGAGAACCTCCTCTTCTTTGACGTCGGTGAAAAATCAACAATAATAGTGAAATCAGTCATGTCGTGCATGTCGTCCCCTTGGACGAAGAACCCCGTTATGTCGTCTCCTACTCTATGGCATTGAAAACTATGTGTCCCTTATAAAACGAGGAATAAGCTTGGACTAGTTAGCCGTGTTTTGTTCTTTGATAAGATCACACAAGTGCAATATTTTTTTTTTCATTCTTAGAACAGAGACAAAATATAGAGTAACTAATCCAAGCTTAGACTTCGTTTATTAATAAGGGGGTTTTTAGTTTGTGCAAGATGGTTTATGATAACGACATATAGATTCGAAAGTCAAATTTGGAGTAGAACCTATTTTTCAATGGCGTTAAAAATAGTTTGAGTCGATGTAATAAAAGATTCACTTTAAAAAATAAGTTAAAATACATGGTTCATTATATTAGAACTAGTGGCCCGCCCTCGCTTCGCTTCAGGGTAGAATTGATCAAAATCCTTTCTTAGCGGATGCCTACGTCATAACATCTACCTGCATGACAAATTTCAGCCCGATCCGTCCAGTGGTTTGGGCTGTGCGTTTAGTAAATAGTGAGCGGATTTTTATATTTTTTGTGCTTATCCCGGATGTAAGTTTCCCCTATAACAAATATTGATGTGGGGTCTCACGACGAATATAAATAATAATATTTTATAAATAGACAATCAACTTTACATGTAGACATTACATATCTAGAGAATCAATTTTACTAGACATTCCTTATTTAATAAAACAATCACATCTTCTATAATTAGCAAATCAACCACGCGACAATGAGCAATCCAATCATGGATATAAGAAAGCGAGCACAGACTAGTGCACAAGATCTTACATAGACTATGGACGTACTATATCATAAAATTAACAGAAACCGCCTCGATTTCGATATCACATATTTTAAATATTACTTAATTGGTGATAGTCTCCATGATTTTGTATCGTAATAGGCGAAAAACATCACTCGTAATCAGAAGTACCTTTTTAGTATCCAAAAAGCAACCATTGGCACATAAAATTTGAAAAACACGATAGCAGAGTTTGTTAACACACAATAAAAAATAATGACTTAAATTTGACACAGGACAGCTAATTGCAACAGTATTTAATTACGACAATTGAATCTGAACTTTATGATGAATAAATTAAGGTCGTATGACCAATAGGCCACCAGAAAGCAATCCACATTGTATTTTGTAACTAAGCCATTTTCAAGTTAATTAATTGGAATATTGATGACGTGAGGTTCTTTGTTTACATAATGGTAGCGGTTGTTAATTTTAACGGTCTTAGATACTTAGTATACTTAGTTATAAATAGATTTTTGTGAAAGTTGGTTAAATTGTAAATCACTTTAAAACATTTTTTTATTAAAATTTTCGATTTTCGTAGATGAGAAGCGAATATCTCGTGTCTGGTTGATGTGGTACCATCTTGGTTTCTGATGTTTTAATTAAGGAATTTTCTTACCTTATGATCTATGGCCATATGTACGAGTATGGCATGTATCTTTTTATTCTAAAAAAATACTAACATAACATAGTATAAGGAAATTGTTGCTAAGTAATTATATTTTGAAACTGTTAAATAAAACAATTATATTCCTATTTATTTGTAATATGAGACTAACTTTACCATATTATTGTTATTTTAGATGGCCGCCAAAGAAAGTCTGCTATCTGTTAACGAGAAAGTTCCGCAGTTGACAAAAAGTTTCTCTTTGGAGTCGTGCAGTGAAGAGACTACGGAGTGCGACTGCAAGGAGGTCGGGTATGGCATTGGTAAGTAAAATCCCCTTGTCTGTGTCAGGCTTCATTTATGTCTTAAATCAATCCTGAATAGTTTTTCTACAAACTTATCTATATCAGAGATGTATAAATTAAAAAAAAATACTTAATATAATAAAACGCAAAATATGAAAAATTAAAATAATTTTCTCAACTTGTGGCAGAAATCATCTGCACTTACACATACGAGGGTTAAAATATTTCTAATGCTTCAACCACGTCTGCGCGATGAACTTTGGTACAAAATGGCTCTACACGCGCTCCGTTTGCAGCTTTCGAGTAATCGGGGGACATACACAAAAAATATCCAACGAATTTATAATCTCCTTCTTTTTTAAATCGTTTAAAAGGTGTATAGGTAACGGCAAACTTCTTAAGCAAAACTATAGATAAAACTAGCTGACCCAGCGAACTTCGTACCGCCCTAAAAAAATAGGGGTTGTCCAGCGGACAAAATTGTGAATCTAAACCATTCTCAGATCCCCTTGAACACACACAAAAAATTTCATCAAAATCGGTCCAGTCGTTTAAGAGAAGTTCAGTGACATACACACTCACAGAAGAATTATATATATATAAAGATAAGCCAGCGTAGTAGACTTTTTTAAAATTAAAAATGGCTACTGTACTACTACTATACTACCTTTCTTGTCTATTGCACTTGCTCAAGAAGTTTTCTGGAGTCTATACTTACGATATTTTTTATTTTAGGGAAGCGTGTGGTTTAGTACTAGGCTTGCCAGATGGCAGGGAAATCTGGGATTGTCCCGGAATTTTGCGTCTTGTCCCTCGTGTCCAGTAATTAGGACCATATTGTCCCGGAATCCGATAATGTGCTAGTTTCGTAACATAATAAACAAATTCTGAGGGGTGATGGGGGGTTTGATTTGATGTTTATTTTTTCACGGGGGGGGGGGGGGGGGGGGTGCATATTTCCCGGAATTGATAAGCCAGCATCTGGTAACCCTACTTAGTACGGGCTGATGATAATAGTATAATAGTTAGGCAATTTGTACTGGTTCCAGGGGACGCCTTGTTCTCCTGCTTTGTGGTGGCTCCGCTGGTGGTGAGCGTGTGGCGCGGCACCTGGAACCTGATGGACATTCACAAGGATTACTTCCCGTACGCCCAGACCTTCCTGTTGGGCATCGTCATACACTTCTCCTTCGCTTTAGTCAGGTTAGTTGCCGTTGTATAGTTTAAATAGCCAGGGGTGTTGTTCTCCTATTTCATAGTGCAAGTATGGCGCGGCACCTGGGGACCTTTCGCCTATCAGGATTGCTTTAAACATTGCTGAAAAATTAAAAATCTTTATTTCAGCATCACCAATTTACAAATCAGCATCACTCTGACTCCCGATGTAAGTTAAACTTGTGTAACCAGTCACTTCCTTAGATGACAAAACTTGATCGGATTGTCAAATTTAGACAAATGAAAGACGAAAAAAATATATATCCACTTAAAATCTACATTAACAGCAATGAACCATGTCCCGTACATGTATGTGTATGTGTACTTGGTGTGTGTGTGTATATGTGTATACGTATGTGCGTGTTTGTGTATGTGTGTTTGCTTGTAATTAGATCAAGATTATGAACAATAATTCCTCTACCCAATATGTACTAAATGCCTCTCAGTATCTTCGTAATCATAAGGTAGCAACTAATGTCTTAATTTATCTTTCATTTTATAATTGCTTCTTTTTTTAACTTACGAACTCTGTATTAAATATATTATTATATAAATAGGGGGCTAAAGAAATACTGTCTTTTGGCAAAGGCACTTATTATTTGTGGCACTAAATATCTATCTTCTTTGTTGCGCCTATTTAGATTTTTCTATCAACTTGTTGGTTAGCCGCGTATCTAATAAAACGCTACACTGGTATATGAACAATCTTCTAACACTAAGAACCTCAGTTTTTTCATAAACCAGATAAGTGGGAAGTCTGTAGGGTAATCGAAGCAATATCAATCAACCAAGTTTTGCCTGCACCACCCCAAGCACTGATTCCATACGTAATCCATTGATTGACAGAGAGCATCGAAAATTTGCACTAATAATTTAGAATGAGCTACTTGACGCAAAGTCTTTGAACCATATGTATTGTGTGAGGTGTCCATTACACCCTGTTATCGACGATAATCCCTTAATATTTTGCAGTTTTTGATCTTATTACTTCAGGACAGTTTGTAAATTGATCTTTTATTGAATTTGAAAAGCAATCGTCTTCATGACTTCGTACAATAAAATCACTCAAGGACTCGACACACTAGTTTTACTATTTTACTAAAACAGATATATGTAATTTGTTTGTTGTAGGTTGCTTTTATAATAAAAATAATAAATAATAATTAATTTCAGACACGAGATTCATATCAAAATTTTAAGCCTATGATTTCATTTTGTTATTTGTAACCGCCGAAGGGTTTCAAACAAAGGGTTTAAAATGCCTCGTGGGATTTTTTTTATTTTGGTAATAACAATAATTAAGAAAATGAGCGCGAGGTATTTTAAAAAAGTTCGGCCGTATGAGTCTACGTCCGGTCGGCATTTAGGTATGCGACGCTTTGAAGAGCCACGGTTTGGGGTCGGTTCGAACGTACAAACCGTGAACAAGTTTAGTGACCTATGTAGTTACTTGACTTCGTAATTAACTTTATGGATAGATATTACAGAAAATCTTTATAAACGCAACCTAGACCGACCGTTCAAAACTTATTATCCTGAGTTCCACCGTGCTTTGGAAGGCACGTTAAGCCGTTGATCCTGTATCTGCAGTACCCACCACCCAGTGGGTGTGGTGGGTATATATACTACGTGTAGTATAAAGTGTAGTGTGACACTACTACTTACACTTGTAGCAGCACACTATAATGACACAACATGCAATTTAATTCATTTATTCAAATGACGAAACACCGTCCCGTAAATAATAATCTTGAATAAATTTTTTGGCTACATAGCTCTGAAATGAGCTTTCGTGCGAAATATTCGCTTCACTCTTGGCCATCACTGCAGCTTCATGATCACCGTATCCGTTCAAGCAGCCGCAGCGGCACGCGGCACGTCGCCCATTATTATTAATTTGCTTAATTCGACATTTAAAAAAACCTTTTTTCTAATAACCATCATTTTGGTTTTGAAGCAGCAGCATGATATTGACATTTTGTAGATGTAGTATGATTATTCTTATACATCTCAATTTATTGATGAGGAAATTAATTATTTATATAATACCTATAGTTAGTATATTTGATTTCCAATCAAAAAGTTTAATTTTATTTTAATATAAATAACTAATACTTACAGCCCATTTTCCCGATGCCAACAGTCTGATGATGACAAATTAAACTTTTACTTTGCCAGGGCTCAGCTGCACTCTCGTTCTAAAGGGGCGTGGAGTGAGTCTGGGGGCAGTGCGGGGCGGTGGCTGCGTGAGCGGCTCCTCTCCAAGGTGTACACGTACATCTTCATACTGTCCTGCCTCAACCACTGGCGGGGCGGCTGGGGCCTGCTGGACGGTTTCGTCAACGCTATGCTGCCCAACACTGAGGACCCACACAGGTATTACTAGACGTTACTTCACCAGGGCTCAGCGGCACTCTCTTCCTAAAGGCGCGTCTGGAGTCTGGGAGCGTTGGCTATGCGAGCGGCTCCTATCCAAGGTGTAAGGTGTACCTATACGTTAATCTGCATACTGTCCTAACTTAACCACTCACGAGGTGGTTGAGGCCTGCTCGATTTTGTCTGGCCTGCCTGGCTTTGTAAACTTGATGCTGCCCAAAACTGAGGATTCGCATTAGTATTACTAGCCATTATTAGGGCGGCTGGGGCCTGCTGGACGGTTTCGTCAACGCTGTGCTGCCCAACACTGAAGACCCACACAGGTAGACTAGACGTTATTCATTACTAGACGTTACTTCTCCAGGGCTCAGCGGCACTCTCGTCCTAAAGGCGCGTGGAAAGAGTCTGGGGCGGTGGCTATGCGAGCGGCTCCTATCCAAGGTGTAAGGTATACCTACACGTTAATCTGCATACTGTCCTAACTTAACCACTTACGAGGTGGATGAGGCCTGCTCGATTTTGTCTGGCCTGCCTGGCTTTGTAAACTTGATGCTGCCCAACACTGAGGATCCGCATTAGTATTACTAGCCATTGCCCTCAAAGGCAAAGGGCAATTAGATCTAAGGTACGAATCTTAAAGCCTAGTCAGGTTAAGCCGACACCCCTTAGGCTCGAGTGGCCAAGTGGCTCTATAACGGAGGGGGGATGCCATCTGCCTAGATATCCACTAAAGGCATTATCAGAGGTATTACTAGCCGTTCAGGGCTAAGCTGTACTCACGTTTTCAAAGCGCTTAAAGCAAGTCTGTGGGGAGCGCAGGGTGCAGGGCAGGCATATACTTAACAGTTGTTTAAGAATAGTACGGTAAGTTGGTTATTACAAAAGAGTAGACGAATGCAAGGAGTTTGTGAATACCAATCCGCAAGAATGTCATACCACGCTTTTCCACACATTTGCGGGGAAAAAATACCTATGTAATTATTAATTTAAGAAATGAAGCAAGTTTTTTTTAATAAGAAAATCGTGCGCATTTCCAAATGGCACCACGTGTGGGTGGTAAAAATAAGTATAGATTAAAATCATGTCCAAGGAGGTTCGACCGAAAAAAAATAATGTAAATGATACACACGTCGCCATGTACGCTCCCAGCGTACGGGAAAATGTTTTGCCGCTCGCTCCTCTGTATAGCCCGTAATTTTGGCTTTTCGACCAATGTATACTACAACCTCCGTAATTATGCATTTTAGAGCAAACGTGTTAAACATATTTTTTCTTTGGAAACACTTGTTTTAACTTTATCATTGCGTATCAACAAATGGTATAAATCTACATAATTTCTTAAATACATACCACCTTCATATATATTTATTAATTTATTTTTTTGAAGACCAACAGCTATTAATAAAAAGAGTAAAAACTTAAATAATAACGAACAGCCAATTACAGGTCTTGACCAATATAAGGTCACTACCACATCTATATTAAGGAGTTATGTGTGTTAAATATGGTATATTTATTTATTATATTAATATAATTAATAAATATACCATATATGCTACCGCGGCCCTCACGGACCGCGTCGAAATTCTTTCTAGCTATTCTTAAGCTGCAAGGCAGCGCCATCTCTTCGCATTATAGGTAAACCCACAATGTCAAATGAATACTTTTACAAGTATTAAACATTTGAAAGAAGAAATAGCAATTATAGTTATAATTTTTATTATTTTTAAAGCATGTAACTGCTTGATGTTTAAATCTAAAGAAAATATAACTAGAAAAAAATTCTGCCTTGCAGCTTAAGAATAGCTAGAAAGAATTTCGACGCGGTCCGTGAGGGCCGCGGTAGCATAATTGGTCAGTGCATTCGCCCGGATTGCGAAGGGTGCGGGTTCGAGTCCCGTCTGCTGCCTGGTCCGCGTGGAATTTTTTTTCTAGTTATATTTTCTTTAGATTTAAACATCAAGCAGTTACATGCTTTAAAAATAATAAAAATTATAACTATAATTGCTATTTCTTCTTTCAAATGTTTAATACTTGTAAAAGTATTCATTTGACATTGTGGGTTTACCTATAATGCGAAGAGATGGCGCTGCCTTGCAGCTTAAGAATAGCTAGAAAGAATTTCGACGCGGTCCGTGAGGGCCGCGGTAGCATAATTGGTCAGTGCATTCGCCCGGATTGCGAAGGGTGCGGGTTCGAGTCCCGTCTGCTGCCTGGTCCGCGTGGAATTTTTTTCTAGTTATATTTTCTTTAGATTTAAACATCAAGCAGTTACATGCTTTAAAAATAATAAAAATTATAAATATACCATATCTTAAAAACACTCGTTCCAGGTATCAGGCAGGAATCGAACCTGTGCCTTCCGCTATCCGAATGGATTCTTCTCTACAAATAAAAAACTTGATTATAAATCAAGCATATAATTAGATTAAAATTATAATAAACTATAATTGCTATATTTTTTACTTTCTCACGTAGCCTGACATGTAAAAATATTTCGTTAACATTATTGACACGGTCCATAACATTAAGGTCTCAGTAGCATAGCAGTTAGCGCATACGCCCGCATAGTAAATGACGCAGTTTCAAGTCTGATACCTTGATTGTGGAATTAATTCGCGTAAAAATCAACTTTAGATTTTTTTTCCAGGCCGGTCTTGTACGCAGCTTTGACAATCTCATTTTACCTGTGCGCAACTGTACTGCGGTCTTCCCGCAACATTCTGGCTTCCCCTTACTTCTTGGTCACCGACGGAAAAGAGGCCACTTACATATTCACCACGAGGTACAACAAGAATGTAAGTACTTTTTTATATGTAATGATTATAGTAAAAGATATAAACCGACCGAAATGAGAATCACCTACTTTTTGAAGTCGGTTAAAAAAAAAGTGTGCTTATGACCACACGACTGAAGTGAAACTTCTTTAGCTCCATCTGTATATATAAATATTTATATATGTATATGTATGTGTGTACAATATATAGATGTATGTACATATACATATTTCATTTCCTAGCTATAAGAGAAAGAGAGAAAGAAAATTTGCGCACGCACTGCTTTCTCTTGCTTTTATCCCGCACTCAACTCCCGTTCGCCTCGCCCCAACACACTATTTGTAACGCGTAAGGCATTCGCCAGAAAGCTAAGCGTGCGTAAAGAAGTTTCACTTCAAAAATCTAAATAAATGCTGGGATATGTCCCAGTGAATAGTAGAAGTGAAACTTCAACGGCCAACTCTCCCTCCGCCGCTGCCGCTTCTCATCGCGCGATGTATCGTCTACCCACTCCACGCGGCCGTAACGCTTTTAAGTGACAGCAAAATCTTAAAAACCCCCCGTCTTTATAGAAGTTTCACTTCAATTATAATTTTAAGGAAAGTAAGTATTTTTTAGGGTTTCGTACCCAAAAGGTATAAAAACTTAATAACAAAAAAATTAAACCTCCGAAAGGTAAATAATTATAAACCTTTTTTTATCTTTAGTGAAATTAATATTTGTAATCGGTGCCATGCCAATCCAAGTAGTAAAGAAGTGCATGGCACTGACTCCAAATAATAATTTGACTAAAGATACAAAAGGTTTAAAGGTTTATTATCTATTTTTTGTGTCTATAATTTTTGTAATATATACAACTCGGAATAAAAGTGTATGAGTGAACATTCAACCCTATTTACCCACCCTTAGGGTAGGGTTTTTGTTTCCTAAATTCATATGACCTTACCATAATGTAACTCATGCTATGGAAGAGTGGTTCTTAAATAAAACTAGTTTTTACGGGTTAATGCACGAAACTTTATTTATTTATTGACGTTTCGTAGTCTTTACAGGCTACGTCGTCAGAATTAAACTTTTATTTAATTTGTCGAACTACCTTCGAAAGACTTTTATTGAGCGTTCGGTTATTTCATTGTTCGATTTTTAAAGTTTTATTGTCTATGTATGAATTTATTATTTAATTTACTTAATAAAGTATAATGAAAATATAACTAGAAAAAATTCCACGCGGACCAGGCAGCAGACGGGACTCGAACCCGCACCCTTCGCAATCCGGGCGAATGCACTGACCAATTATGCTACCGCGGCCCTCACGGACCGCGTCGAAATTCTTTCTAGCTATTCTTAAGCTGCAAGGCAGCGCCATCTCTTCGCATTATAGGTAAACCCACAATGTCAAATGAATACTTTTACAAGTATTAAACATTTGAAAGAAGAAATAGCAATTATAGTTATAATTTTTGTTATTTTTAAAGCATGTAACTGCTTGATGTTTAAATCTAATGAAAATATAACTAGAAAAAATTCCACGCGGACCAGGCAGCAGACGGGACTCGAACCCGCACCCTTCGCAATCCGGGCGAATGCACTGACCAATTATGCTACCGCGGCCCTCACGGACCGCGTCGAAATTCTTTCTAGCTATTCTTAAGCTGCAAGGCAGCGCCATCTCTTCGCATCGAGTCCCGTCTGCTGCCTGGTCCGCGTGGAATTTTTTCTAGTTATATTTTCATTAGATTTAAACATCAAGCAGTTACATGCTTTAAAAATAACAAAAATTATAACTATAATTGCTATTTCTTCTTTCAAATGTTTAATACTTGTAAAAGTATTCATTTGACATTGTGGGTTTACCTATAATGCGAAGAGATGGCGCTGCCTTGCAGCTTAAGAATAGCTAGAAAGAATTTCGACGCGGTCCGTGAGGGCCGCGGTAGCATAATTGGTCAGTGCATTCGCCCGGATTGCGAAGGGTGCGGGTTCGAGTCCCGTCTGCTGCCTGGTCCGCGTGGAATTTTTTCTAGTTATATTTTCATTAGATTTAAACATCAAGCAGTTACATGCTTTAAAAATAACAAAAATTAATAAAGTATTTTATTTAAAATTCTTTTTTGTAATTTTGAGTTTATTTATTTGACCCTACCTACCGTAAACTACCACCGGTTCCAAAATTGGGAGACCTTTCTGAGAAGAACCGGCGAAACAAACTCAAGAGAGGCTTTCTATCTCCTTCTTATGTTAAATTATGCTAAGAATATAAGAGTGGTTCTTTTTGGTACAGGTGTCTTTACACTTAAAAAGAGAGTCTACCTTTATCTATGTACTGGTTACATGTATGGTAAAGAAATAAAACAATTTAATTTATTTATTCATTTAATTTATATGGGGCCAACTTCGGGTATATATCCTTCCAATAAAAAAAGAATTATAAAAACTCTGTAAAAAGTGAGGCGTGGTCATATATAAAAAAAAAATATATAGGCGGATACTTGAGTACCTACTCCGCTTTTTTCCTCGGTTAAAAAGCGGAACCCTATTGTCGGTTGAGTAACAGGGACTCAAAGGAGAAGGAAAATAAAGGATCGCAGCGAAAGCTGTGAAAAAGTGGAGAGAAATGAGAAACATTGCTTAAGGTGGAGGCAAGAAGAGTTTAGAACACAGAACTAGTATATAACTAGTTTCTTCGCGAAAACCTCTAGTTTCCATCAAGAAACTAGTAATATACTAGTTTTATACAAAGCTTGTAGAATAATAAAATTTGTTGTGGTGGTTTAAATCATTCTTTATTTACAACTATATCTTAAAAGTATAAATCATCTATTTACTTCACATATTTTGTTTATCCAACAAGTTTGATGCAAATATTGTATTCTTCATGTTTTATACATATTATATAAGTTTGAATAAAAATTAAGACATTACATAAAAATTGTTTAGTGTAAACAAGGGGTTAGAGTATGCAAATCCTTGCGCCACAGACTATGGAGCTAATTAAGTTTACTACGGAAATGAGACACGTGGTCGAATATTCGGTAATTATATATTAACCTGATCCAAACATTCTGCAGTCGTCGTATCCGGTCCAGGATTCAAAAGGAAATCCCTTTTGAAACCTCGATCGAGTAGAGTTTTTTCTATTAATATTTTAAGTATAAGTACTTACATACCTTTGTTGTATTGTATTACATTCAAAGAGATGGAGGTCCGATAACCTGAGACACGGGTTTTTTGAAGTTATACTTCTTTAGGCGAGTTATGAAAAAATGATGAGAGTGAAATTTTTAGATGCGCGCGCATCACTGTAACCCAAAAGTAACAGCATGAAGTTGGCCGCGGGCGCGTTATGAAAAAATCATGTGAGTGAAATTTCGAGATGCGCGCGCATCACTGTAACACAATAGTAACACCATGAAGTTGGCCGCGGGCGCGTTATGAATGTTAGTGTCTAATAATGGTGGATTATTAACCACTTAGTGGTTAATCCACGATCCACGGAGCTCCATAAGATGATCGCGTTGTCAAAAACAATGTTGGCACGCTCGTCGCCTCTGATCACTGTTTTCATATTTATAATATTTATCCACATGTTTCTAGTTTCTATATAGACACAACGTGTTTTAGTTACTTACAAGTGCTAATTACACATGGACTAATAACTTAAATTCAGTAGTGATTTTAATTAAATATTTTGAATATTTATTTAATTTTTCAAATTAAAACTGAACTTAATTGACTGTGTTAACTATCCTTTTCCAGTCCTTTTATTATTTTATTGTAATTAGTTGCATGCAATTAAAAAATATTTTTAATGATGCTAAAGAAGTATAACTTCTCACGCGCGGACATAAGTTACACGCATCCATTTTTTTTTCTAGTTTAGGTGTCAGCCCGCCGTAATAGGGAAGATGCATGCATTTATTTTTGTTTTCATTTTAAAGACTTCCATGTAGAATAAACCACAGTTAAATTAAAAAATTAAAACATTGTAATTTATCGGAAAAAATGTAGTTTTAAATTGACAGTTTAAATTTTCGCGCGAAAACGGACCTATGGTTCCGATGACGTCACTCCTGTCTATCACTGGTCGTACTTGTTCGTTGCTGGCTTTCAATTTTCATAAGTCAATTCGAATAAGTTTCTTTTTTTCACTTAATTTAGGTACTATGGTTAATGCCGGGCTGTAAAAATCTGCTGACCTGAAAAACAGGTACTTATTTCGTATATACAGCTTTTAATATTCTAAACATGATTAAACTAAGTGTTTCTATAATAGGGAAGATGCAATATTTTTATTTTTGTTTTCATTTTAAAGAATTCCATGTAGAATAAACCACAGATATATTAAAAAATTAAAACATTGTGATTTATCGGAAAAAATGCGGTTTTAAATTGACAATTTAAAATTACGCGCGAAAACGAACCTATGGTTGCGATGACGTCACTCCTGTCTGTCACTGGTCGTACTTGTTCGTTGCTGGCTTTAAATTTTCATACTTTTGCATATTTTTTCGACTTTCGAAATATTTTTTTTGAAAAGTTTAAAATGGACTCTCCATCAACATCATGTGATCATAACAATACCACTTATATTCCGAAAAAAAGCCGTGTTGACTCATGTTTTGTGCCAATCTACTTCAACAAAGTTCCCAAATAAATTGTTTTTGACTAGAACTTCTGACCCAAAACTGAAAAAAAGTGGTTTCAAGCTGCGAAGAGAAATGGCAATTATTCTCCAAAGACCATTATTCGATGCTGAGAAGATCACTTTGATAACATATTTTTAATTTTACAGTTGGAGAATGACGACGAAAATTAGATAAAGTTTAAAATGTGTGGCACAATCTTCACATTGGCAGGACTGAACCAAGCTTTGCGTTTCATTTAAAATAACTGTAACACGATATCCTTCTTTACGTACTTTATGCTCCGGAGAACTCGACCTTCTACTGTACATAATTCTCCATCTCTTTTAATTTGAACATAGCCGATTGCATTATCGCCGTAAGATTTATAGAAGCCGC